CCATCTCAAAAAAAAAAAAAAAAAAGAAAAAGAAAGAAAGAAAGAAAAGAAAAGAAAAAGGGCAATGACAGTGATAGATGGAAAACAGAAAAAATGGGGCTGGAAAATCAAGGGAAAAGAGTTTCCATAAGGAGGACATGATCAGCTGGGTCAGATGCAACAAAGGGAGCTTTGGTAAGGGTAGAATAGAAAGATGGTCCCAGCAGGAAAAGTTTTGGTGAATTAGGAGACTGCCTATGGCAGGAAAAATTAAATCACAGCAGCCTGTCAAAGGATGAATAGGGGATGAAGAAGTGGCTTCTCTTGGGAAGCTTAGATGTAAAGGGAAAAAAGAGCAATAGCAAAGGAGAAGACAGAGTTGAAGGACGATGTTAAATATGGATGAGCTTGAGGATGTTTAATGCTAAAAGAAAAGAACCAATGCATGGGTAAAGTTTGAAGAGAGAGAAAAAAGGGGCTGTCTGATGGGATGAGGTTCCTGAGGAAGAGAAGATTTTAGGATCTTGGATGAGTTCCATTCTCCTTGCCCTGTGTCCTCTCTCCCCCAGTCAGAGTAGCCAGCTTTGTTCCTGCACCTCTGGCAGGTAGCCTCATTTAATGCCTCCTGAGTTAGAGAGTTCAGTGGCAGCCTCAGCCTAGGCCCAGTGACTCACCACTGCCCTCCCTTCCTCTCCCCCATTCACCCAGGCGCCTGGCTGTTTGGAAGTCTGTTTGGAAGTTCCTTTCTTCCAGGCAGACAAGATCTAAAGACGAACCAGCTTGGGTGGGCACAGGCTCACGCTTGTAATCCCAGCACTTTGGGAGGCCGAGATGGGTGGATCACTTGAGGTCAGGAGTTCGAGACCAGCCTGGTCAACATGGTGAAACCCCGTCTCTACTTAAAAAAATAAAATTAGCCGGGCGTGGTGGCGGGCACCTGTAATCCCAGCTACTCAGAGGCTGAAGCAGGAGAATCGCTTGAGCCCGGCAGGCAGAGGTTGCAGTGAGCCAAGATCGCACCACTGCACTCCAGCCCTGGTGACAGAGTGGGAATCTATCTTTTTTTTTTGAAATGGCTCTGTCGTCCAGGCTGCTGTGCAGTGGGGCGATCTCAGCTCACTGCAAGCTCCGCCTCCCGGATTCACGCCATTCTCCTGCCTCAGCCTCCGGAGTAGCTGGGACTACAGGCAACCGTCACCACGCCTGGCTAATTTTTTGCATTTTTAGTAGAGACGGGGTTTCACTTTGTTAGCCAGGATGGTCTCGATCTCCTGACCTCATGATCCGCCTGCCTTGGCCTCCCAAAGTGCTGGGATTACAGGTGTGAGCCACCGTGCCCGGCCAAGAATCCATCTTAAAAAAAAAAAAAAGACTAACCACCTTGTCCTGTTGTCTGTCTGGTCAGTCAATCATTGGGACCACACACCCCAGCATCGTGGACTGCGTGCTGAAGGTGCTGGGCACGATGCACCTGGAAGTCCAGTATGAAGGTAGGGAGGCTACTCCAGATTGCAGAAAGGGGTACCGAGAGCCAGGCGTAACAGCTCTCAAAAGCTTTCTCTTAGTCACAAAGAGCCTTGATGTGGAGTGTCTGGGACAGCCTTGGCAGATGGAAGACGCTGGTTCAGAAAATGTCAGTCACACCTATGCCTTGCGTCAGCCACAGGGTGCCTAGGGTGCCTGAATGGTTGCAAGAACCTGCCTAGGTCCAGAGCTGACTCTGGCTCCCAGTCTTATGTGGTGCTTCCTGGTTAAACAGAAATCACCCTGAGGAATGTCCTTCTTCTAAGAAACTAAACTGAATAGTCATAGTATTAATTTGGTTGGTTGTTTTTCCTGGGTTTTTTTTGAGACAGGGTCTTGCTTTGCTCCTCAGGCTGGAGTGCAGTGGTGCCATCATAGCTCACTGTGGCCTCAAACTCCTAGGCTCAAGAGATCCTCCCTCCTCAACCTCCCAAGTAGCTAGGACCACAGGTGTGCACCACTACGTCCATCTAACTTTTTAATTTTTTGCAGAAACGAGGTCTCACTATGTTGCCCAGGCTGGTCTTGAACTCCAGGCCTCAAGCGATCCTCTCACCTCAGCCTCCCAAAGTGCTGGGATTACAGGCATGAGCCACCGCACCCGGCCTATTTATTGAGAACCTCTGTGTGCCCGCCACTTTCCATACATCACCTCATTTACTTCTCAAAATAACCATAAGAGGCCAGGCATGGTGGCTCACACCTGTAGCCCCACCATTTTGGGAGGCCAAGGCAGGCAGATCACCTGAGGCCAGGAGTTTGAGACCAGCCCAGCCAACGCAGCAAACCCCGTCTCTACTAAGAATACAAAAAAATTAGCTGGGGGTGGTGGCATGTGCCTGTAATCCCAGCTACTAGAGTGGCCGAGGCACAAGTATCACTTGAACCCAGGAGGTGGAGGTTACATTGAGCCGAGATCTCGCCACTGCACTCCAGCCTGGGCGACAGAGCAAGATTCTGTCTCAAAACAACAACAACAAAACAACAACAGTAACAACAAAATAACCAGAAGAGTACAAAACCTGGTACATACTAGGTATTCAAATGTTTCCATGAATGAATGGTAAAGATATGTAGTTTTATGTTTTTCAAGATACAGCAATAAAGCCCAGAGAGATTAAGTATGCCTCCCAAGGTTACACAGCTATTGGATTCTAGCCGGATCTGCCTGACTCTAAAGTTTATGCTTTTAACATATAGCGCATGGCAGATATTTAAACGATACAATTTCCTTCCCTTTTCCTATAGTGGTTCAGAGGAAGGAGATTCTATTTTCAACAGGAGGAGATTAAAGAAGGGTTCACCGAGACGGTGGTGTTTGAACTGAGCTGTGGACAATAGGGAGGATTTGGGAAGGTCGAAAGGAGGAGAGGAGGTCGTTCAGGAAAGGGGGATGGTAGAAAGGAAGGCAGACAGGGAAGTGCAAGGTGTGTCCTGGGAATAATGGGTAGGTCACTTAGAAAAGGGATGGTAAAGGTCTAGGAAAGGTAGGCTAGGAGCAATGGAGGGGGACCTTGAATGCCATGTGGGTAGGTGGCAGTCTCTCCAGCAGGCAGCGTGGAGCCACTGAAAAGTGAGCTGTGCACAGGTGAGGGCTGAGGGAGTGCAGTGCCTCCGAAGATGGCCTGGGTGGTGCTATGCCAGGTGAGCCAGAGCCACAGGGAGCCACTTGAGGCTGGAGGCCAATTAGGAGGCATTTGGGGTGGTTCAAATGACAAAAGAAGAATGTGCTGGTCCAGCTGGGTACATAGCCCCAGGAAGAGAGCATGGACAGCACAGGGAACTGCCTGGTGAGGAGAATGAGGTAGCGTTTGGATGTCGGAGTGGGCGGGGCCCAAGAGACCAGGACAGACAGGCCCAGTAATCAGGAATGGTCTGGGCATTAGTATAGGGATAGGGACTCCTGTGTCTAGGATGACAGGCTGAGCCCTAGGTTCAGGAAGCCTGGGGAGGAGAGCATGAGGAGCAGCCAGGCACTGAGGTTCAGGTACACAAGTGAGATCCTGGGGAAGATCAACAAAGCTCTGGAGGCCACTTCCAACCTAGGTTATTTTGGGGCAGCAGTGCTTAAACTGAATGTCAGGCATATTATTCCTTCAGTAACATTGTCAGTTTTGTATATTTTGACCCCTGAAAGCTCTGTGTGCATATGTGGGCCTTGTATGTTGAGAAATAATGCTATGCTAAAATCTGTTAGCAGCTGGAGCAGAGTGTCCTGGCTGGAGAGGAGTTGCCAGTGAAGGGGTGGAGTGGTACAGGGACCTAAGTAATAGTCAGACCCTGCACCAGAGGGTTGTCACTGGCATTGGAGCAAGGGGATGACCTGGTAGTAGAATCATGTTAGGAAGCTTAATCAAACGATCCCAAAGACTAGATTGGGTAGCACTGAGACCTTCCTCTCCCCACCCCACCTCTGTGTGGCAAACATGCCCTCTCCTCCTCATCCATCCATCACTTCTCAGCTTAAGCATTGCCTCTCTAAGCCCTTCCCTGACCCTGGCTTCAATCCCTGCCCAAATGTCAGCCCTTCTTCCTTTGAACCACTCTGCCCCCCCCTTTAGCCCCCTTCCATCAGAGCTGTGTTCTCTAAAATGGTACCTTCCCCTTACATAGGCTGTGTGCAGTTTCAGCTCAACCATCATGGTTTTTATCCTTATATCCTCAGCACAGCCCTAGCGTGTTAGGTCCTCATTGCATGTTTGTTGAGTGAATGAGTGAGCAAGTGAGTGAGTACTGCACATATGCACTGCATTAGTCATTACTCGCCTCTATGCCTTTCTCCTCCAGACCTCCCAGCAACTCCAAGGCAGGTACTGGGTCTGATTCATCTTATTCCAACTCAGGACCTGGAACATAATGGGTGCTCAGTAGAAGTCTGTGAAAAAAAAAAAAAAAAATCTTTGTTCTTTTTTGAGACAGGGTTTCACCCTCTGTTGCCCAGGTGGGAGCACAGTAGCATAGTCATGCCTCACTCCAGCCTCAACCTCCTAGGCTCAGGTCATCCTCCCACCTAGGCCTCCCAAGTAGCTGGGACCACAGGCACAGATCACCATGCCCAGTTAATTATTTGTAGAGATGGGGTCTCCCTCTGTTGCCCAGGCTGCCCTCAAACTCCCAGGCTCAAGTGATCCTCCTGCCTCCACATCCCAAAGGGCTGGGATCACAAGCGCAAGCCACTGCACCCGACCAAAACAAAACCTCTTATGCTGATGAAGTCCTCCGGAGTTGTAACCGGCCACAGCTTCTTCCAATATCGGCCTAAGTTCCAGTCCTTCTGCATTTATTCAGTAACAGCTAACAGTGTGCAAGAGGCAGTGGGAACGCGACTCTGTGACTGCATTTGGTTTGTTATAGGATCATGTGATAACAGTGAAACTACGTGCCTCAAGGTCATTTCAGATATGCCAGACTCATAACAGATGCGCACAAAAAAAAGTCTGTTGAATGAATGTATTATTATTATTATTATTTTAACCAGGCGCTTCAAAATAGTCTTCATATAACTCCAAATGTAGAGAATGCGTATGCAATAATTGCCCACTAGAGGGCACTGTTTCATATGGTCCGCGTAGACCGGAAGTTGAGAGAGAGAAGAAATTCGCACGCCTTCAGTTTCCATTGAAACTCTGCCCGAGGGAGGGAAGGAAAGTTTCCACGGGGTCCTCCATGTGATCCTAAACAGTGGGTGACCGGGAAGGATTAGAGAGTAATTTCTTTGAGTTTGCGTATACCAAATTGCAAAACCAGAGTGAAGCCCCAGGATGCTGACAGCAGTCAGCACGGAGAAGCAGCCTGTGTCCAAGAGGAGCCTGAGTGACTGCGGGGAGAAGAGTTTAGTGGGTGACAGGGACTGATCTCAAAAGGGCAGGATTGGTTTGTTTCTTTAAACAAATATTTACTGTTTATCTGTGATGTGCCAAGAACTGTGCCAGACACTGGGGTTTTGTTTGCGTTTGCTTGTCTGCATTGAGAAGGAGAAAACTGAATGTCTTGGAAGGAGAAGGGTCGGGGGTGCCCACTCCACTCCCATGTGGCATGTGTGTGGGGCAGAGTGGAGGGTTATTGGCATCCTTCCCCTGAGAAAGCTACAGGGGAAGTGGCATCCTGAGGGCAGTGTCCACTGACAACAGGAGGCGGAGAGGCTTAGGGGGCCTGGCGATTGTTTATCTTGCAGTGGGTGTCAGTGGTGGAGGAAGCTGCTGGTGGCCTCACCTCCTTTTTCATGAAGAACGCCACCTTCCCCCACCACATCTACCAACCTGCCTGACCGGTGAGTCAGGTTAGCCACATCCTCTACTCTCCTTCCCATTATGAAAGTGTCCCCAGTTCCTATCACAGGCCGCCTCTTCTGCTTATTCTCTGAAGCACATTCCCTCAAACACTTCCCTTCTGTAGCTCACCTCTCCCTTTTTCTCTGCTGGACCATCTCCACTGACGTGCAAATATGCTTTCTATCTTCCATTTTTAAAAGAGCCCCTCTTTGGGAATTTATGGATTAAAAGAGATTTAAAAGGCTGGGCTCGGTGGCTCAAGCCTGTAATCCCAGCACTTTGGGAGGCCGAGATGGGCGGATCACAAGGTCAGGAGATCGAGACCATCCTGGCTAACATGGTGGAACCCCGTCTCTACTAAAAAATAGAAAAAACTAGCCGGGCGAGATGGTGGGCGCTTGTAGTCCCAGCTACTTGGGAGGCTGAGGCAGGAGAATGGTGGGAACCCGGGAGGCGGAGCTTGCAGTGAGCCGAGATCGCACCACTGCACTCCAGCCTGGGCGACAGAGCGAGACTCTGTCTCAAAAAAAAAAAAAAAAAAAGAGGAGATTTAAAAAAAATGTACCAAAAAAAAAAAAGGTAAAATTATAGCATTTAGGGATGTACCTCCCTCCTTGACCCCAAGTTGCCCCCCAGCTATTCATTTCTTTACCATTTCCTTCCTACTTTACCTCCCAGTTGCTTTCAACCCTGTT